GGCCCCAGCACACCCTCCCCCCACCTCTCCCAGCCAGCAAGGGCAGCCTGCCCCCATTCTCCTCCCCCCAACTGCAGGGCCCCAGCACACCCTCCCCCCACTTCCATGCAGCTGCATCATTTTGCGGGGGTGTGTGGGGCAGGGACAGGTGTCTTCTGTCACTGCAAGCCCGACTCAAGAGACTGCCCCTGCCCCCAGGACATGCCTCTTAGCTGCCTCTCCAGGCCCTTCCAACAGAACCCTCCTCTTGCCGGGTACAGGCCCCTGCTGCCACGCGCAGCTCCCTCCTGTTTCAGGGCACACACGGCCATTAACTTCCCCCCTCCCGCACTGGCTAGATTCCTGTGTTTCTAAGGGAATTTCGAGCCAGTTACCCAGCCATTTAAATGGCTCCTGTTTACACTCCCACCCCCATCCCCATCCAAGGGCAGTTGCACAAGCTGGTGTTTTGTCAGCCTGCCCCAGGGTCACCCCACAGCCCAGCAGGGGCAAAGGTCACAAAGGGATATAAAGGCCAAGACTGAGGGGGGAGGGGAAGAGGTCCAGGCAGCAGCCCGTCTCCTCCCACAGCAGCACCTGGGCCCTACAGTAATCAAAGGATTGAGCCTAGGGAGGGGTTAGGAGCCCATGTGGGCATTGAGGTTGGCCAGCCTGGATAAGCCCCCTCAACTTACGCCAGGCCTTTTCAAAACCACCCATTTCCCACGTTCCTGACAAACCCGGAGAGCCACAACTGGGCCAGTTTCACAAATGGTCTTTATTTCATTAACAAAAAAATAACGACAGCGGAGGAAACCCCAGCCCAGCCCAGCCTGCAGTTCCCCCCCCAATAAAAAAAGAACTAGAGAAATAACTTACAAACATTCAAGACATGTGGGTAACACACTTGGTGAGGGCAGGATTGTTTTCACCCCTTTGCCAGTTTCCTGGGCAGACAGCTAGGAAACTGGGGAACCCAAGAATTATTTGTTAACACGTACATGTAAAAGCATCGACAATCACAAAGAGCGACCGACCGCCAGTTCTCAGTGGTTTACAATGGGATTGGAACATGGAATAGTTTCTCCTTTGAAATTCTTGGGGGGCATGCGGTCAGTCTTAGACACCCTCTTTTTTCTGTCCTCAGCAATTCAGACCAAGTTTAAGACTCACATTTTATGCGGGGCCGTTCAACCACCACTCCAGAGAACAGGCCAACTCCCTTTGCCTTTCGCCCAGACTGAAAGAGAAATAAAAACCTTCCAGCCTCTGTGACTTCTCTCATTTTCATTTGTCTTGGAGTTTTTAAGAGCCAGCCAGCCCTGACTCAGTTCCTCTTTATGGGGCTGAATGAGTCAGGCTGACACCCACCCACTCCCCCCCCCCTTGAAGCCCTGACTCAGTTCCTCTTTATGGGGCTGAATGAGTCAGGCTGACACCCACCCACTCCCCCCCCCCTTGAAAAACCAGCCCCCCGTACACACACAACACCTAAAGGTGGCCCAACC